GGAAGAGGAAGAGGAAGAGGAAAGAAAAGATCATTTTTCCTTCTTCCAGATAGTTTAGAAGTGGAAGCTATTCTAATCTGGCAGCTAAACAAAAAGGAAAACTTTTTTTTTTTAGCCCTGGATATTGATGTGAAAAAGTTTTATGACTCAGCTGCTGCTGACAAGTTTACTGCTGCAGAATTGCCTGATTTAAAGAAATTGTAGTCTTTTTAATGTATTTTTTAAAGGGGAATAGGCTGTTCTGGGTCAGGGGCAGGATACAGTTCTTGAACTGAGATTTCAGGATACCCCATCAAAAAATCCTAGTAGATGTTTTTATTCTTTTAGTTTATTTTTTTAGTTTTCCATTTAAATGTATTTTTCTATATCTTTTCTGTTTTATAGATCCTGTAATTCATATTCTTCAATAAGAAAAGGATCTCCTATCTAGGGGGTAGGTTGATCAAGTATACATTGGTGCAAATCTGTTGGGATTATATTTTTTATTTAAAAAAGGCTCAACATTTGTGATAGAACAAATATAAGTAATCCAGAAGGATATACTCTAATACTGGTGTTTAAAATATTTTACTGCATTTATTCATTCTTATGGTCCTATTAAGGATTTTCCAGAAATAATACAGACATACTTAAGGTTTTACTTGGGCTGTGGATCAAATAATTACAATTGAAGATTTTAGTCAGTATTATTCCATGTGGTCAAGATTTACTGGACTGAATGGTTTTTTTCTTATATAATGTTTTTGTTGTTTCCCTTTTTTTCTGTTGCTTTGGGGAGGGTGAACCTTTTTAGTTCTACTTTTCCTGTCTTTTTGATTATTAAAGTCATATGCTTTTTAAAAAAAATCCTTGGTAGGGTCTGCAAAATTTGATGACAAGATCATGGGACAGACTGTGTTAAATAGATGGTCCTATAAGTTGCTTGAGAAAGGCTTTATACACTACCGGGACTGTCTTGAATTGGACTTAGAAACTAAAATAGCAATCAGTAAAGTGACATGGGGATAATATGAACCTTGGATATAAATCCTGATATAATATCAACTGTTAAAAAAAATTATCTCAAACAGCTGCATCATCTTCACATTTCATACTGTTCTATTTAAACAAACTTTTATTTAAGCCACAATAGCTAAACTGAAATTTTATGTAATCTACTCATTTATTTTAAAGTCTTTAATTATTCTAGGATTATTCAAAGTAATACCTACATCCAAGTCTGTCCACTGCAATCCTAAGTATGACTTTTCACCAGTAGCTCTGGCCACCTTCACCAAAGGATTGCCATTAGGCTCATGAGAACTTCTTTGTTCTCTTTCATCCATCAGCTTCTTGAATGCTAATCCAGGGAAAGGAACAAATCACACTGGAAGGAAACATTCAAGTAGTTTTCAAGCCATTAAAGCCATTAAAGTATATGATGTGCTAGGAACGTTTTTTCTCTCTATTCTCAAATTACTGTTCTCAAAGTGATGAACTGGTACAGTTTATGAAACAGATCCAGCCATACATCAATTCAGGTTGGCTAATATCGGGCAGAGAAAAAAATCCAGGCCCCTTCCACAAATTCTCCAACCCTAATGTAATTCTGTTTTCCCTGTGGAATGAAATGGTTAGTCATTCACAACTGGAATGCTTATACTGTAGAGGCGGTTCTCCTCCATCTCAAATACCCAGTACCTCCTTTTGTCATGAAAGATGCAGAACAGCTAAGAGGAAATAAGCCTGGCTACAGAATTTGCCAGCACTGCTCTGATCTTTGCCACTTCCACTTCAGGAAAATACAGAAAAGCCAAAACAGAGCTGCACTTACAGTAATAGGAGATGAGGGCAAGGCTCAAATAAAAGGATTAATCTGGGATCCTAAGAGCCAGATAAGGCTTCCTAAAGTGGAGGTTATTCACTTGTAGAACAGCTAAATCTGGACTAGATGGACAAATGTGGTGACCTGGTATACAACTGATTACTATCTCCTAGCAAAGAGATGCTACATTGAGTGAGTCAGACTGGCCTCTGATCTGAATCTGCGTGTAATTGGTTGAAGCCATTTCTATCAGAGTCAAACTTCCAGCTGTACTTGTTTTAAAGATATTTTAAAAAATCAGTAATGTTATCTTTTCAGGAAATGCTTTTTGATTGTGTTTACTATCTAAGAATACAGCCATTAACATTAGGTATTCTTACCAATTCAGTATTTAATTGCCTCTCAAGTCAATCATATCTACCGAACACGATTTTACCAACAATACCTTAAATACTGGCTTTACAGAAATGAGCAGAAACATAAATAATTCACGTTATTAACTTTATAGCCAGATCTAGATAAAAGGCAAATTTAATGTTCCAGTTGTCAAAATAAGGAAATACAAAATTATTGAACACACAGACAAACAAGTTCCTCTACCTACAACTGACTAAATTAACCAAATAAATCATATTCA